TTATTATATTCTGCACTTTTGTATGTATTTACATACGGAGGAATAATTTTTAAAAAATTGTGTTTTTTACATAAAGTAAATAAAATATTTTAATTTTATTAGAAAATTTAGGTTGAGTCTTCTTTTAAAGTATAATAACTTGGCATAAGACTATGGAGATGTTAAAAGAACAACAGAAGCAAGTGCGATGGAGATGAGGAAAAAATAAAGAAAAATGATAATTAATTAAAGAAAAATAGTGAATATAAATATAAAAACAACAAAAATAAAGAAATAATGAAAGAAAAACAATGTGAAAGTGTTTATTTTCATCGATGAATGAATTGATTCAGTTATGTTGTTAGACAAAGAATTGAATTTAATTTTATTAGATGTTTAATCAAATATTCTCCTTTTTTATGTTGTTCCATTCAGAAAATAAATGAAACAAGGTAAAGGAACATAAATAAGATTCTTTCCTTTATGTTACATTCAATAAATTGGCGATAGACATTTTTGGAAGCGAATAAAACTGCAATTTCCTAAACATTAATCAATGCTTGGCAATGTTTTTAACCAAAAAAGTTATCAAAAATTAAGAATAAAAGTCATAATATTTAACTAAACATCTATTTTTATTATTTTTGATTTATTTTTTTATATATTTTCTAAAATAAAATAATAAAAAATGAGCAAAAATTATTGTGACATAATCACAATGCCGGTCTGCAATTTTTAATCATACTTTATATTTATTTAATTTAAAATATATGTTCTCGATCTCAAAATTAGTAGTGTCTTGCCCCTTTAAATCATACTTTTCCTGTAAACAGCAATCTTTATAAATCTACAATTTTTTCAAATTGCAACCCAGTGAATGGAACTAAATGGAGATACATAAATAATACTTGTTTCTTCACGTTACATTTGGGAAAAAATCATCATAAAAATTTTTAAGGCATAAATCTTATATATATTTTCTTTATGTTACATTCGAAAAATTTACGGTAGGTTTTTTTAAATGAATAAAACTACAATTTCTTGAAAATTAATTAATACTTGTCTTTACAGGTAACAGGTAAAGAAATAATTCAAAATAAAGAATAAAAGTCAAGATATTTAATTAAATACCCATTCTTCTTGGTGTTCCATCCGTTTGATTAATGAAAAACAAAGAGACGAAACATAAATAATACTTGTTCCTTCACGTTTCATTGATAAAAGAGCACCATAAAATTTTTACAGGTGCATAAATCTCATTTATACACTTCTAAAAATATATAAAATAAATGAAACAAGATTAAAAAAGACATAAATAAGTTTCTTTTCTTTACGTTCCATTCAAAAAAGACACGATAAAATTTTTTAGAAGCAAATAAAACTACAATTTCCTAAACGTCAATCAATACATTTGTCGGTGTTTATAACGTAAAACATTGATTAAAAATAAAGAATAAAAGTCATCAAAAAGTTATAAATGACTTTTTAAAAAGAAAATACTATCATTAACATTAATTTATGTTATTTTCTAGTTGAGAAAATCGATTTCTTAGAAACTTGAATCAAATAAAACCCTTGATCTCTTCGTATATTAGTAAAGAATCCTTGTATTTTAACTTCAAATTTAAGTGTTTTCATATGTTAAACTAATGATGAAAATTTTTTAGAATTGATTCCTTTTTGTTTTCCCGATAATTATTGAACTCAGGTGATGTTTGGGAGTGAAAAAAACCGTCCCTTTCGATCGTATGACCTTCCATATTCATTTGTTAGACCATCATTTTCAACCACGCCTTTTCTTGGTATCATTTCCTGGCTAGTAACAGTATCATTTCCTTTTCTAACCTCCTTACAAACTAACAATATTCTTCAATGTTAAACGTCCCCAAAAAAAATCCATTGAGAAACATCCCCAAAAACAAATTTTTTGGATATTAAATAAAGTAATGAGCTCAGAACATCCTTTATATCACTTCTTCGGGTATTTATTAAATTGAAATTTCAAGTAGAAACAAAAAAGTATTTTAAAGAAGCAAAAAGTAGCCATTGAAACAGCTAAAAAGAAGAAAAGATATAGCCATAACAACACCCAGAAAGTCCAGCAGCGAGTTGTGTGACTTTCCCGGCAAAAAATTAAAAATTGTAAATATTAATGAGCAATTATTGTGAAATCGTCACAATGTATTCAATTTTAGCAGTGTCTTGCCCTTGTACTGTACATCATACTTTTCCTGTTAACAATGGAGTCATGTCATCTATCTAAATATGTTCAGGGGAAAATTTTTTAATTGAAATCACTTCCGGTTAAAAGCTCTATACAAATTTAAGGTTAAAACCAGTAGTTCGTATATAGTTAATCGGGTTTCCCTCCTTTGAACTTTCCATATCTGGTCCTGACTTTTATCTACCTAACTCCGTTCTTGAAAGTAAAGAAGAACAGACAGACAGACAGACGCCAGCAGAAAATTATAGGTCTACAATTTTTGAAAATTGCAGCCCAATAACGAGTAAACTCTTCATTAAAGCTAACCCCACTCGAGATACAACACACGACTCCTATCTCTCTACCCCTCGATCTTTAACCACCAAAATTTAGTAGCATCAATTCTCCTAATACACAAACCTCCCTACAAAATTTCAGAAGTTTTCGACAAAAGGCATAGCAGTTATTAACCTTCAAAGAGGGTGAGAAAAATTGTGCCTCACACAAACATACAAGCATCCATATATACAGAAGAAACACAATTTTTTTTTGTATTTCTTGACGTTTCAAGGTGCACTGAGTTCAAAAATGTAAAAATCTTGGAAAATCAATTTTTGACTAATCGCTCTACAGCTAGGAAAGCAAAAACCAAAAAAATAATTATAAAAAAATCAAATTTAACTATCTAAACATGTAAAAATACACAGGTTTAGACACCAAAAGACAAGAAAAATAATAAACAAAATACATTTTAAAACACTACTTTAGATACTTAATAAATCATTTTTTAAAATATTTAAATATAAAAATGCGTTTTTTAGTATTGCAAAATGGAGCAATTTAGAAAAAAATTCCAATTTATTTCTACGGAGGTGACACATTCCACTTCACGCATTTAGAATTACAGACTCTCGAGTTTAGTCAACTTTTTGTCTTCCCATTGGCAATATTCCTGTCATTTTGTCAATAGAGAAATATGGTATTTTTCCCCTTTAAAAAAGCCTCGACTTCTTTTAACAACAAATTGTTGTTTTGCAGTTTCGATAAGTTGGCATTTACCCATTGGGATTGGTACAAAAATTACATTTGGCCCTATGTCACACACTTTCAACTTATCTTTATAAGATTGGAATTGGTCTGATCTTCTATCTTCAAATATTAAGAAGAATATTATTCACTTCTCTTGTCAAAGATCTTAAATAAAATACCTTCGAGTATTCTTCTTTATCCTTCTAAAAATCGAGAGATTTTTTTCGAATCCCCCAAAAAATATGACGGTAGTTCCTTGTAAATGCTGTATACGAAAGTTAATTTCGATTTTAAGAAGAAAAGATTTCTCAACGCCGTAAAATACATTTTGATATGAAGTATAGGTGATTTCAAATTAGGTTTCATAATGCAAAGTAGAAAAGTGCGAAAATATCTTGTATGCTTAACTGATAAACTTTATAATTATAATTTGATTTTCAAACGTTTCTACTTGGCGTTGTTAAGTAATTATAAAGTTTTTCAATTAAACACACAAGATATTTAAAAATTTTTCTACTTTTATGACAGTTTCCCAATTGGATATACAGATTTTTAAACGTTTTTACTTGGCGTTAATAAGTAATTACTAATGTTTTTCTAATTGCGCCAAGTAGAAAAGTTTGAAAAAATGCATCATTAATTAGAAAAGCTTGAAATTACATACCAATGCCAAGCAAAAACATGAAAATGTCCAATTGCAAAAGTTTTTCCAAAGTCAAATAGAAAAGTTTCAAAATATATACGAGCGCCAAGTAAAGTGATTAGAGAATAACTTCCGATACAAAGAATAAAAGTTTAAAAATAATTTTCAATGCCAATTAGAAGAGCTAAAAGCGTGTTTCAACTTTAAAAAAACCTAAAAATATTTATTATCGGCAAGTAGAAAAATATAAAGCTTTAACGCCAAGTATAAAATTTTAAATATGTTTAACAATGACTGGAAACGTCTATCAACGCCAAGTAAAGCTTACAATTTCGAGTAAGAAAGTTTAACAATACTTTCTTTAACGCCAAGTAAACAATTAGAAGCTGTGGTCCAATATCAAGAAGAAAAATTTGAATTAATTATTTGTGCCAAATGAAAAATCGTAAAATGGCTTTTTAATCAAGTAAGGAAGCTTAAAATATTTTACAGTGCCAAGTAAAATAATTTTAAATACGTTTTGACAAGTAAAAAGACTAGAGAAAAACCCAACACCAAGAAGTAAAGTTGGAAAAAATTTTTCATGGTCAAGAAGAAAAAATCCGTATAATACTTACTACGCCAAGTAAATTCCATCATCCATTTGGAGATTTTTCAAAAAAGCCTAATTTATATTAAAAAAAACTGCATAGAAATTAGCATTTTATACGGAATGGAAGGAGTAAGAAAAGCATAGGCCTGGGAATATCAAGGGAAGAATCTAAAAAAGCAAAATATCTAATGTGATTGAAGCTAAGTAAAGATACTTAAGTAAAGAATGATAGTTTTCTTTTCTAATCTTTTAAAACGATAAGAGAAATCTTTAGAGATTTCAAATTTTTGTTTGTTTAAATTGAGTATCTTTTTGGAAAGGAAAATGAATGTATCCTTCCTCATTTTTCTTGTCTCTTCTTGATTACATTGTCCAACTTCTAAGATAATAATCCCTGAAGATTACCTCGATCGTATCATGACATCGTTTTATTTATTAAATATTAACTAATTATCTAAAAACACCATTCTAAATAGAATTTTTTANTTTCTAGTAAAATTTACGAGAATATAGAGTTCGATGTCTATACAGAGAAGAATATATAACACCATTTTTTAAGATCTTTGAGTAGATTGAGGTCCACATAATATTCTTTTAAAAGCATTCCTAAAATCGGGGCTGAATATTGTATAAATGAGGGGGTTAAGCATAGAATTGGCGTAACCTAACCACAAGAAGAAGCTGAAAATGTATTGACTCAGTTCACAACTGCATATAGGCATAACTAACGCCACGACAAAGAATGGTAGCCAACATACCACAAACACACCTGTTATGATAGCTAAAGTCTTTGCTGCTTTCCTTTCCCTCTTCGATTCCATTGATTCTTTTATTCTCGTTGACTTTTTATCCCTTTTGGCTATTAAAAGAAGTCTTCCCACACCGGTTTGAGCAGCAGCAACACCATTAGAAGTGCTCGAAGTAGAAGGTAAATCTGCCGTTGATGGTGGTGTAATATTTCCTGAACTTTTTTGTACTACGAGTACAGCTTTTGCTCCAGGTCTGTGTCGTATTCTTTTCCTTGCTTCTTTCCATATCCTCCAATATAAAATCAGTATGACAACCAATGGCACATAAAAGCTAGAAAAGGTAGCGAATATCTGATAGGCAACATCTTGACTCACAAGACACCTTTTTTCTTCTTCTAGTCGCTTGGCAAAATCGGGATCTTTCCAACCGAATATAGGCGCTAGAGATACCACAAACGATACTATCCAAACTAAAAGGATCATTATGTAAATGTGTTTAGCATTTCTTTGACGAGCGTAATCGACGTTAGTTACTGCCCAAAATCTGTCAACTGCTATGGCTAAGAGGTGTAAGATAGATGCTGTACAACAGAGAACGTCACATGCAGTCCACACGTCACATAACTCGGGTCCCATTATCCATTCTTGATTCACTTCGTTTACAGCACCGAGTGGCATAACCAAACATGCTACCATCAGATCTGCAACACCTAAGGATAGGACTAAATAATTACCAACACTCTGTAGATTCTTCTCGATAAATATTGCAGCTATGACAAATAAATTTCCAACTACAGTAGCTAATATTATGATACCCAATAATACAGACATCACAACCATTCCTATAATATCGATTTTTATAGGATCTTCAACTGTAAAGTTGTAAAAATCGAAAGTCATATTTGACTGCATTTTTATTTATAATTTATATAACTTTTCGAAGTAAAATTTTATTAATTAATTTGATTTTTATATTTAAATTTCTTCATAATATCCAACAATCGACGATTTTTGTGACAATGAGAGATGCGTGTTGCAAATAGTTTTCATCACTTCTCTACTTAATTTTTTCATAACAATTTGATAAATAATTATTTTTCTCAAAAAGTTACTGAATAACTTTATACACTTTTATGCATAAACATATTTTAAACTAGACGTAAACAGAGTATCTCTATAATTCACGCATGGAAGAGGAACGTAACATCTGTAAAAGAAACGATATTTTTATTAATTTAATTATATTTTTACGTGAGAAAAAGCTATTTTAATTATTAATTATAATTAATTTTCATACTATAACAGTAAATTTCATAAAAAGTTTGATTATAGATATCATTTACAGAGTCTAATTAGATTCAATAAATTTTCAAGTATATAAAATTAAAGAACTCCTCAACTAGAAGTGGAATAATCGAATTATCTTAATTATTTCACGAGATTGAACTCATTTATGTAAAACTTTGCCACATGAATAATTTATTAACGTATAAATATTTTGAACTAAATATTAATTATTATTATTAACTTCGTTACAATGATATCTTATAATTTAATATATGACTAACTACCTGATCAAAGTTTGATTATGAATAATGAATTTTATATAAAAATTAATTAAATAAATATTTGTATAAAGTTATATATATATATATTTCCCCCTATACCGTTTCATAAATGTTATGGGGTCAATCGCATTTTATAAAACGTTATCGAAGCTTATAAAAACTCTTAAAGAAAGAAACAAAGAGATGCACTTCAAAGTTTCTTCATCCAGGTATTCCCTTGCAAAATCCCGTAACCATAGAAACAACTTCTTTGCCTAGCTATCTGATGTTAACATTATGACTTGTCTATCATATTTTCATGGTAATTCGTGTGTATTTATACAACGAACATAGCTAGAAGTAGAATAAATGTTTGGAAACAGATGTCGAAAGGTTTATACTTGGTTTATCTTCTAAAGTAGGTTATGACTAGAAAAGTAAAGAGCTTATTCCTTTACTTTGAATCCTTTTGAACAATACAGAACATTTACTCAAGCAGAAAAAGATGCAAGAAGTCTTACAAATATGATGTCAGCACTTAAATGGCTTTCAAATATTGATTTTTTTGACATTTAAACGGAAAATTATAATGTTTATATGTGTAATAAAAGTTCAGGTAATTATTAGAAAGATTTTAATTTTAAATTTCCCCGAGTTTATATATACTAAATTTATATATTTTTCTATACTTTACTCTCTTCTTCTCTAATTCATAAACATCATTTAAATGCAGCTATCGATTTTTGATTAAAAATAAATATAAAAATAAGCGAAGAACTTCACGAAAATATTTTTATTACCGTTTAATTTTTTTTAAAAAAGTTCTAAAAGATGTATTTTTTTGGAATCGAAAATAAATGTTTTGCAAATATATTTTTGCTTAATTTTATTTTAATTTTTGATTATAAAATTTTTAAAAAATGCATTCTTAAAANATCTCTCTACCCCTCGATCTTTAACCACCAAAATTTAGTAGCATCAATTCTCCTAATACACAAACCTCCCTACAAAATTTCAGAAGTTTTCGACAAAAGGCATAGCAGTTATTAACCTTCAAAGAGGGTGAGAAAAATTGTGCCTCACACAAACATACAAGCATCCATATATACAGAAGAAACACAATTTTTTTTTGTATTTCTTGACGTTTCAAGGTGCACTGAGTTCAAAAATGTAAAAATCTTGGAAAATCAATTTTTGACTAATCGCTCTACAGCTAGGAAAGCAAAAACCAAAAAAATAATTATAAAAAATCAAATTTAACTATCTAAACATGTAAAAATACACAGGTTTAGACACCAAAAGACAAGAAAAATAATAAACAAAATACATTTTAAAACACTACTTTAGATACTTAATAAATCATTTTTTAAAATATCTAAATATAAAAATGCGTTTTTTAGTATTGCAAAATGGAGCAATTTAGAAAAAAATTCCAATTTATTTCTACGGAGGTGACACATTCCACTTCACGCATTTAGAATTACAGACTCTCGAGTTTAGTCAACTTTTTGTCTTCCCATTGGCAATATTCCTGTCATTTTGTCAATAGAGAAATATGGTATTTTTCCCCTTTAAAAAAGCCTCGACTTCTTTTAACAACAAATTGTTGTTTTGCAGTTTCGATAAGTTGGCATTTACCCATTGGGATTGGTACAAAAATTACATTTGGCCCTATGTCACACACTTTCAACTTATCTTTATAAGATTGGAATTGGTCTGATCTTCTATCTTCAAATATTAAGAAGAATATTATTCACTTCTCTTGTCAAAGATCTTAAATAAAATACCTTCGAGTATTCTTCTTTATCCTTCTAAAAATCGAGAGATTTTTTTCGAATCCCCCAAAAAATATGACGGTAGTTCCTTGTAAATGCTGTATACGAAAGTTAATTTCGATTTTAAGAAGAAAAGATTTCTCAACGCCGTAAAATACATTTTGATATGAAGTATAGGTGATTTCAAATTAGGTTTCATAATGCAAAGTAGAAAAGTGCGAAAATATCTTGTATGCTTAACTGATAAACTTTATAATTATAATTTGATTTTCAAACGTTTCTACTTGGCGTTGTTAAGTAATTATAAAGTTTTTCAATTAAACACACAAGATATTTAAAAATTTTTCTACTTTTATGACAGTTTCCCAATTGGATATACAGATTTTTAAACGTTTTTACTTGGCGTTAATAAGTAATTACTAATGTTTTTCTAATTGCGCCAAGTAGAAAAGTTTGAAAAAATGCATCATTAATTAGAAAAGCTTGAAATTACATACCAATGCCAAGCAAAAACATGAAAATGTCCAATTGCAAAAGTTTTTCCAAAGTCAAATAGAAAAGTTTCAAAATATATACGAGCGCCAAGTAAAGTGATTAGAGAATAACTTCCGATACAAAGAATAAAAGTTTAAAAATAATTTTCAATGCCAATTAGAAGAGCTAAAAGCGTGTTTCAACTTTAAAAAAACCTAAAAATATTTATTATCGGCAAGTAGAAAAATATAAAGCTTTAACGCCAAGTATAAAATTTTAAATATGTTTAACAATGACTGGAAACGTCTATCAACGCCAAGTAAAGCTTACAATTTCGAGTAAGAAAGTTTAACAATACTTTCTTTAACGCCAAGTAAACAATTAGAAGCTGTGGTCCAATATCAAGAAGAAAAATTTGAATTAATTATTTGTGCCAAATGAAAAATCGTAAAATGGCTTTTTAATCAAGTAAGGAAGCTTAAAATATTTTACAGTGCCAAGTAAAATAATTTTAAATACGTTTTGACAAGTAAAAAGACTAGAGAAAAACCCAACACCAAGAAGTAAAGTTGGAAAAAATTTTTCATGGTCAAGAAGAAAAAATCCGTATAATACTTACTACGCCAAGTAAATTCCATCATCCATTTGGAGATTTTTCAAAAAAGCCTAATTTATATTAAAAAAAACTGCATAGAAATTAGCATTTTATACGGAATGGAAGGAGTAAGAAAAGCATAGGCCTGGGAATATCAAGGGAAGAATCTAAAAAAGCAAAATATCTAATGTGATTGAAGCTAAGTAAAGATACTTAAGTAAAGAATGATAGTTTTCTTTTCTAATCTTTTAAAACGATAAGAGAAATCTTTAGAGATTTCAAATTTTTGTTTGTTTAAATTGAGTATCTTTTTGGAAAGGAAAATGAATGTATCCTTCCTCATTTTTCTTGTCTCTTCTTGATTACATTGTCCAACTTCTAAGATAATAATCCCTGAAGATTACCTCGATCGTATCATGACATCGTTTTATTTATTAAATATTAACTAATTATCTAAAAACACCATTCTAAATAGAATTTTTTAGAATTTCCGTATAATTAGTATTATAGAAATATATTTTTAGTTGAATTATTGCAGTATTTTCCCAGTCGTTGGATAATTTCATTCGTTAAAAATCCTATTACCATTCTAAAAAACATCCAGCAATGAGTTGCTTAACTTTCCCGGCAACATTTAAAACAGGACGTGTGGCGCCATCTGTTATGATATTTTATTATTTAAATCTTTTCATTGTTTTTAAATTATTATAAAATGGCAAAAGTTTAATTTTGAGGGCAGGAATGGGTTTTAGAAAATAATGTAAATAAATGCTAATAACAAGTAAAATCGTCATTAAGTTTGACCCTACTGGAGATACACACAACCTCCTTTAACCCTCCATCCCCTCGATCTTTAACCACCAAAATTTAATAGTCTCAATCCCCCTAATACATAAACTTTCCTGCAAAATTTCAGAAATTTTCGACCACAAGCACAGTAGTTATTAAGCTTCAAACAGGCGAAAAAATCGTGCCCCCCCACGCACTAGCATCCATACATACAGAATTTACCCCCGAATTTTTTACATTTCTCGACGTTTTAATGTCTTCTAAGTACAAAAATTTAAAAATCTAGAGGGGGTCATTTTTTGACTGATCGCAATACTTTCCTTCTGTTATATACAGTATAACAGCCGGAAAATTAATACACGTTTATGTAGATTTTTTAGGGGTTATCCTTGTTAATTTCTATATAAAAATGTGCTTTTGAATGCGCTTTTTTATTAAATTTTCTAAAAAAATAATAGAAAAATATTTTATAAGACAATTTCATTGGCTAAAAATGAACTAAATCTTAAAAAATACACACTTTTACACAGAAAATTTTAGAAGAATATTACATAGAATAGTGTATTTTTGGTTTTGTCCATTTAATTTCTCAATCTTGTCTAACTTTTGTTTGTATCTAAGGTCATTTTTTCACTAAAACTTGACATATTATTCAAAAAATACACCTTTATATAGAATTTTTTTAGAATAGTACTATAAATTCACATAAAAATATAGATTTTTGGATATGTCTTCTCTCTTATCTTTTTTAGATGATAAACTTTAAAGATTACCTCTTCAGTATCTTTGTATTAAAATCAATTAATATTCTGCAAATACACTTTTATATAGGATATTTTGAAAGAATGTCCCTAATAATTTCTATATAAAAGCGTTTTTTAGATGGGTCCTTTGAAAGTTTAACTACCATTAAAGATTCATCACTAAAAGCTAAGTAACGTTTGAAAAAAATACACATTTGTATAAAATTTTTTAAGACTTTCCTATTGATTCCATGTAAAATTGTATCCGTGGATGCCTTCATCTA